ATCCTAGTCAATTAAAATTTGAGTAAAATGCACCTGCTATGTGTGGGCTCGAACTCACAACCTCAGTATTGACAGGTACAACAGCGGAACTACTTAAAGCACTTGGCCACTTAGGCCTGGACCTGCAAACTTTAAAGGGAAGCGGTCAAAATTGAAAATTAATATTTTAACATTTTGTTGCACATGGTTTAGATACAAAAATGCATACAAAGCATAAAATTGACAAAGTGGTGAATCTGATGGCATAATTGATTACTTATAGACAGAAACTAATATTTCCCTTGCAAAAAAAAAAACAGAAAAAAATTGGGAGGGTCACTTTTTTGGTCCCTTGAATTTGTATGATAATTTTGACTCGCCTGCAAAGAAAGTCGCATATAAAAATATTAGTGATGTCAACAAGCACTTGAGTACCTAAGTATCACTTAGTAATTAGTACAGAGTATCAAGTACTAAAATAGTACTCCTCTAACAAGTCTCCTATAAGAACACCATTCTTGTGAAAATTAAATAGTAACTACAGATTAATCATTGTTGAAATACGTTTTATTTGGTATGTGTGTGCTTAATGGTCATTTTAAATGGCCCTGAAAATAAGTGGGCTTAGTACACAAGAGCAGCTTTCCTTGGCTTACACTTTTGGCTAAATGTGGCTTAGCCATTCCATGACATCTTTCACATCTCCATGTTTCTTAGCCATTCCACAACATCTTTCTCATCTCCATGTTAATGCAATCTTACTTTCTCATTGTATTGTATATACTTATATTCTTTTGTAACTTAGTCCTTTGTTTTTTTTAAAATGTCTACTTTGAAGTGTGTACAGTTTTTGTATGTTAATGTCTTTTATGTCCTTGTGATCCAACTTTTTATTGATAGGCAATACTGACATATTTCAGTTATGTTGCTACATCCTTATGTAGGTGTCAAGTCTCGTACTCCATGTAAATGTACTCCTTTCATCTAAAGGAGTGAATCTTAAGTTTATCATAAGATAACAATAGGTTATCTAATATCAGCCCTGAGAGAAAAACAATGTAGATATTGAAATATTTCATTTGGATTCAAACCAACAAACTCTTTCCTCTCAACTAAAGTGGACTTTTCATATCATAAATTGATAATCTGGAAGTAAATGACAGTTTTTGTATGATGATATAAATGTGCAGAAAACCAGATACAAAATATTGTCAAAATAGCCAATTTAAATGATAAAGTTGCGTACTATACAATGATAAGCTTAAAAAGTTTAGATTCTGAAAAATTAATGACAGCATGTCAGAAAGCTGAACTGCACTAAAGAAAAACTGTATGACCAGGCAAAATCTTAATACAAAGGTATTGACTTTGCAATGGTATTGTTTTAAACCTGCAGGTATGACGGATTATTAATCTCGACAATTAAGTGCCCTTTTCTTTATTTTTCACTCCACTATATGGATTTTGCTCATTGCTAAAGGCCATACAGATGACCTATAGTTTCTTACATCAACATCACTTGGTCGCTCTTGGATAGTTGTCTCATTGGCAATCTTATTGCATCTCCAAATTTTCTATATCCTTGGTCTTGTCTGTCCATGAGGCCCAAAAACACATTTATTTTGTAGTGCATTTCTTTAAGACAATAAATTCAAATTAAAAAAATTGCACCTGCTCTATCTCAAAAATATTTCTGCAGTGTAAATACAGTATACTTTTGGGACAAATAATATCAAAATTATAGAATAGTCTACCAGCTCGAACTCAAAATAAGGACAATTCTATGTTAAGGGAGTCTATACTGTGGATTCGTTATTATTCGTGGGAGACCAATTTTCGTGGGTACAGGTGAACCACGACATTAAATGTTCAACGGAAAACAAATATTCTATAGGCTTGTATGCAGACTTCGGCAAAACCACGAAATTATATATCCACGAACGTGTAAGTTTTCCTTCATCCACGAAAATAAATGAATCCACAGTAATTCAGCTTGACAGCTTCAAACATACTAATTTTTTACCTTTTTTAACTGTACCAAATCACTACTTTACACCTGAATTTTTATACGACCGCAAAAAAATTTTTGTGGTCGTATATTGGTATGACGTTGGCGTCGTCGTCGTCGTCATCCGGCGTCGTCGTCCGAAGACGCATTAGTTTTCGCACTCTAACTTTAGTTTTACCATAAGGTTCAAAACCACAAAAGGAAGGTGGGGATTGATTTTGGGGGTTATGGTACCAACAGTTAAGGAATTAGGGGCCAAAAAGGGGCCAAAAATAAGCATTTTCTAGTTTCCAGACAATAACTGTGGAACGGTGTATGGATCTCTCTGAAATTATACTACAAGTTTCCATACCACAAAGGGATGGTTAGGATTTGCTTTGGGGGGTTATTGCTCAAACCGTTTAAGAATAAGGGGCAAAAAAGAGGGGAAAACAAGGTTGTCCTCATTAATGGACAAATACTTTAGTACAAAACATAATTTAAAGCAGTGTAAGGGAGATAAATCAAATACATCATTGAAATTATCTCCCTTACACTGCTTTTAAATTATGTATAAAGTAATGGTTAATGAACAATTAAGATAATTTAAAACAGTGTAAGGGAGGTAATCCAAATACAACGTTTTGGTTACTTCCCTTACACTGCTTTTAAATTATGTTTAAAGAAATGCATATTTATAAAGGAAGACCAGTATGGCGCATGAGATTTGTAAAATCTTTGACCACATTTATTTATTTGTTATGCCGAATCTAACCGTGTATTTAGATTTTTAATTTTGGGTCCAGTTTTCAAATTGGTCTACATTAAGGTCCAAAGGGTCCAAAATTAAACTTTGTTTGATTTTAACAAAAATTGAATATATGGGGTTCTTTGATATGCTGAATCTAAACATGTATTTAGATTTTTGATTTTTGGCCCAGTTTTCAAGTTGGTCCAAATTGGGGTACAAATTAAACTTTGTTTGATTTCAACAAAAATTGAATATATGGGGTTCTTTGATATGCTGAATCTAACCATGTATTTAGATTTTTTATTTGTGGACCCCGCTATCAAATTGGTTCATATTGAGGTCAAAAGGGTCCAAAATTAAACTTTGTTTGATTTCATCAAAAATTGAATTATTGGGGTTCTTTGATATGCCAAATCTAACTGTGTATTTAGATTTTTAATTTTGGGTCCCATTTTTTAAATTGGTCTACATTAAGGTCCAAAGGGTCCAAAATTAAACTTAGTTTGATTTTAACAAAAATTGAATTCTTGGGGTTCTTTGTGAGCTGAATCTAAACATGTGTTTAGATTTTTGATTATGGGCCCAGTTTTCAAGTTGGTCCAAGTTGGGGTCCAAAATTAAACTTTGTTTGATTTCAACAAAAATTGAATATATGGGGTTCTTTGATATGCTGAATCTAAACATGTATTTAGATTTTAGATTTTTGGCCCAGTTTTCAAGTTGGTCCAAATTGGGGTCCAAAATTAAACTTTGTTTGATTTCAACAAAAATTGAATATATGGGGTTCTTTGATATGCTGAATCTTACCATGTATTTAGATTTTTTATTTGTGGGCCCGCTATTAAATTGGTTCATATTGAGGTCAAAAGGGTCCAAAATTAAACTTTGTTTGATTTCATCAAAAATTGAATTATTGGGGTTCTTTGATATGCCAAATCTTACCGTGTTTTTAGATTTTTAATTTTGGGTCCCGTTTTTTAAATTGGTCTACATTAAGGTCCAAAGGGTCCAAAATTAAACTTAGTTTGATTTTAACAAAAATTGAATTCTTGGGGTACTTTGATATGCTGAATCTAAACATGTGTTTAGATTTTTGATTATGGGCCCAGTTTTCAAGTTTGTCCAAGTTGGGGTCCAAAATTAAACTTTGTTTGATTTCAACAAAAATTGAATATATGGGGTTCTTTGATATGCTGAATCTAACCATGTATTTTGATTTTTGACATTGGACCATAATAGGTAAATTAAAAAAATTCAAGTTCTTAGACCACATTCTTTCTGTGTCAGAAACCTATGCTGTGTCAAATATTTAATCACAATCCAAATTCAGAGCTGTATCAAGCTTGAATGTTGTGTCCATACTTGCCCCAACTGTTCAGGGTTCGACCTCTGCGGTCGTATCAAGCTGCGCCCAGCGAAGCATTTTATTTTAGCATGTAATTTCATCCCTCTGCATAATATTTCATGCATAAAATATAAATAAATAAATTTGGAAAGTGTATGAAAAAAATATGCAAGATATAAACTGTCCACACTAGGGACTATATTTGTAGACAACGAAAATCAAAAACAATAACTGTGTCCTCAGACCATGACTCAAATATGGTTGCTTTTCATGTATGATGACTCAGAGATGCTGCCACATCACTGAAATCATAGATAAGTTGTTTATGATAATTACAGAGTCCCAGAGGCAGTGTTATGAATGTTACTTATGATTTGATATATTTCTGTGATAGCAATTGTCATTCTCATCCAAATTTCAGCATTGCTGTGTAATTGTTGCAATTGATACACATGGTTGACCTTGAATGTTAGAGATCTATTTTAACAGGCATGGTTATTATGTGCTCCGTGTTTATAAAAAGGGAATATCCAATGGTATTGCCTGTTCTTTGAAATTACCTGATTTAGGTTATGACTTTCACACACACACAAACATTTTACAAAAACACCAAAGGCAGGGATTGGGTAATCATAATTGTAAGAAAAAAAATAGATTGAAAATCTTTTTTTTCGTATTAACTGATAAATACATGTAGGCTAAATTTTTGTCGCAGTCAACACTTTTACACTGACAACAGCAACTGTAGCGGAGACACAGGGTCCTGTGGAGCCCTTTACAATTTTTTTTTAGTTCAAATACAAAACAAAGTTTTTGAATATCAGTGTAATAACAGTACATCAGGGTAGAAATGTAGATACTTTATAAACTATATATGGTCCAATATCATAATTTATATAAATTAGTCTTTGTTTAATGCTTAACATTTCACTTTTCAGTCTGAGGCAAATGATTCTTTTGAGAGAAGTAAAAATGAATTGAATGACAAGATAACATCACTGACTTCACAGATAGACGAACTGAATACACAGTTACAGAATGAAAAGGTGAGTCATAAATAATTATGGTTTTCATGATTTACAACAATTAATTTTGCATGCGTTGAACAATTTTCTAACAAAAAAATCGATTCAATTTTAATTTTTTCAAAATTTTTGAATAAAAATTTAGGTGAAAATAAAAAAAGTCAGATGTAACTGGGACAAAGATCTGGTTATTTTTTTGTGGAATTTTTCACACTATTACCTACAGTTAAAATATAAGAGTCTTTTAAGACTTAAAAAAAAAGTTCTCTGGAACAGTTGTTAGCATTAACTGTTAAATTTTGAAAGATCTAAAGAATTGATTTGAAAATTTGAGTGTGAGATTGACTTAGATTTATACTTTACCATCAGTTCTTAAGAAAAACACACTGTTAACATGATATGAACTTCCTTATCAATACAGATTTGATGAATTTCTGGAAACCTAAAATTGAAAATGCAAGAAAATAAATACATGTAATGCAATGATATTTTTTTGAACCCGTACATGTATTAAACCCAGTGTAATGATGAAGATCATGTATTAATATAACCCATCATTATGTCATCTGGGATCAAGTTGTCTTGTTTTTTTTTGTTTAGTTGGGTTGCTGTCACATCATGACTTACCAAATATCTCATATTTTCATATATTACTTTACAGAAATTTAATATTTTTTTTACTGCTAATGACAACAATTATTTTATGACAATCAGAAAAAAAAATACATTTCCTTTCTCAGGATACTTTGACTGCTACAATGGGCTCAGAGAATACAATGAAATCTCAAGTAAGTATGGAATTATTTGAAGATAATGTTGAATAGTATCTTTTCTAGCTATCTAGTGTAAACTGATTGTTTAAAATTAAATATGAGATTGCTTTCTTTATATGTACATTGTGTTTGCTTATAGAAACAATGAGGCAGGTTTATAGTAACAATATATATATATATATATGTTAGCCCTGACCCTTTGGTTGTGTTTCTAACACTTTCACATAGAATAGTTTTATTGAAAATGCATGGTTTTTAAAGACTCTTTATGTCTGGGTAAAACTCTCTGTTAATAGAATACAATGTGTTTCTTAAAATTAAAAAATATGTCTTTAAGTTAAGAATTAAAACGGAAGAGATTTATTAAGCGATTTGTTTAAATGAATTAAAAAACGTTTCGAAATGAGTAAAATTGAAATTTTGTTTCAGATCGCAGAGTTAATAACAGAAAAATCAACTGCAGAAAAACAAGTTGAAGAATTAAAATCACAACTGTCAGATACTACAGAGAAATTAGAAGTTCAGGTCTGAGGTTTATACTAAATATTTTTATGCCCCACCTAGGGTCATAATGTTTTTTGGTCTGTGCGTCCGTTCGTTCATCCGTCCGTCTGTCCCTCTTCAGGTTTAAGTTTTTGGTTAAAGTTTTTGGTCAAGGTAGTTTTTGATGAAGTTGAAGTCCAATCAACTTGAAACTTAGTACAAATGTTCCCTATGATATGATCTTTCAAATTTTAATGCCAAATTAGAGTTTTGACCCCAATTGCACGGTCCACTGAACATAGAAAATGATAGTGCGAGTGGGGCATCCGTGTACTATGGACACATTCTTGTTATTACAAAAAGGATCAGCTTTCTATATAAATTCAACTAAAGGGTTTATTTATACAATGACTAATAATATTGTCTTTGTTATTGTATTCCTAGATACTCATCTTTATTGAATAAAATGTTATCCTCAAATGAGGTCAATCTAACATTCCAGCAGCCGGCACTATCCAGTCATGAGGTTTTACACAAAAAGTCTCCCACTCTTTACTTATGAGTTACTGTATATTAACACTGGGGAGTTGACATTTTAAGACTAACTCTCCTTCTTAAAGAAATATTGTAATTAACTCACAACAGTAGGAGAATAATCTATATGTATTCACTTCATTGTCATTAATTTGATAATAGTTTGTAAGATTTTATTAAATGTACAAATGTATATAATAAAAGAATGGGGGACATTTTTTTTTTCTGGAATTAGTGTGAAGAAGTTTGTAAAGACCAGGGGTAAATTGTATTTATTTACATAAATAATTCATAACCATTCATAGAATTAATGTAGAAGAAAAGTAATAGATACGATTTATAAAAAAAAATGTATGTTACATAATATATGTAATAAAATATTTTCTACATTTTCTAGTAGCTGTTATAAATCCTTCAAAAACACTTTAGTTTATCTGCAAACTTTCTCCATTGGGAGTTTTAGTGTGTGACAACTTTTTTAATGGTTTACTCTTGCTGTATGCCATTCAATATTTTGCTAAGCTTTATATAAATATTTTGAATAATAATGTTTTGCATTTATCCTTTTTACTGATACTGTATCAAGAAGATACCAATACTCACAACTTCAACATCTGAATCGTTGAGATTAAAGGAGTAAGTTAGGTACGGGCCATATTTGGCCCCGATTATAAAGTTCAATGTTACAAGATAAAAAATGTTTTAAGTTGACTTAAAGACATGTGAGAAAGTTAAATAGAATTATTTGTGTCAAAGTTTTATTCTAAAACGTTGATTTTTACATCCCAAATAGGTCAAGATAAGAGTTTTTGCGAAATTTGACAAAATTGGCCAGATTTCAACCAAATTTAGGACCAGGAAACATAGAGCGCAGACGTCGACAAACTAGATATTCAAGTTGGGCATGTAAAATGTCTTTACAAACATTTTCTAAAAGATCTTTCTTGTCAAAGTATGTGCTCTATGTTTCCTGTCCATTAATCAATGGAAATCTACGCATTTTTATTGATTTTTTCGTGGAAAATCAAAATGAGCACTATTTGTGACGTCATAAATAAAACGCAGGTACATAAATTTTCAACAGAAGGCTTATTTCCTATCTAGTCACTGTATTAGCTATGATTCATTTTCATATTGGTCACTAAATCCTAATTTGAAATTTAAGCTAAAATAAGGGGCCATTTTAGGGCCTTATCAAACCTACTCCTTTGACATTAGTATTGTGCATTAAATGAGTGGTTGTGTTAATTTTTTATGGATTTCTATTTTGAAAAATTATGTGCTGTTTAAATCAGGGTGTGGGAGTCTTGTGTGTTTTGTCAAATAACAACTTTTGACACCTTTTGATTTTAGAAAGAGCAGATAACTCTTAAAGAACAGCAGTTGCAAGGAATGATCCAAGAGAAAGTTGATGAGATAGATAATCTTCAACAACAAAATAAGGTATTTTAAAATTGACTTATGTTTTTCTTCTTTCAGATCATGAAAATGATTTTTCATGATGAAAAATCTGTAATCATATTACATATAAATACTTAGACATAAATTTTATACATTCAACAACATTCTATGCTGTTGGCCGGAGATATGTAATTTTCAACCAGAGATTGTGTTTATCATATTTTCGATTTTGAGCTGGTACTTGGTATTTGCAGAAGAAAGACCATTTAAAATAACTCCAGATTTTTTACCTCGAGACGTGGCAGTTCACATGTACTTAAAAATTACTCTTTTGACTACTTTGGATTCATTAATATTCGTTGGAAACCAATTTTCGTGAATTTCGTGGGTACAGGGGAACCACAAATTTAATTGTTCCACCAATTACAAATTTTCCAAAAGAATGTATGCACGAAATGCAAGTTTTCCTCAATCCATGAAAATTGGTACCCACGAAAATAAATGAATCCACAGTACTTTTAAATACTGTAAATTCAGAAATTATTGCGAGGTTTTTATTATTGCGAATAATGCGATTGGGTGAGGATCGCAATAATATGAAATCGCATTCTGATATCTGGTACATATGTCTTAATGCAGATTTTCTTGAAATTGCAATAATTAATCTCGCATTTTTGTCCATTCTTCAAAATCGCAATAATAAATGCACGCAATAATTTCTGAATTTACAGTAGAAATGAAATTTTTTTATTTTATATAGGAAAAATCACAAATTGAAGATAAAACTTTGTGTGTCCGAGGAGCTTTTCTGGATTTACCTTCATCAGGAATGCTCAAACTCATACAGTCGAAAGCCAGGGATCTATAAATATGTAGAAGACATCTTATATGGATTCAACAGAGGCAAATTACATATTTTCCTTCTTGCGCAATTATTTTTATCAATAAATGTTTTAACCAATTTAGATATTTCGTTTTCAATTTTGTAGGCTTTGACAGAGAAGTTAGAATCCATAGAAACAAACTTACAAACAGAAGCAGCATCGGTTACAGAATTGAAAGAAAAATGTACAACTTTGGAATCTGAATTAGAAAGGGCGAAGGAAAGAGAAACTGAACTTAATAACTCATTTGATGAGCTTAGTGAAGTAAGAAATGTTATTTTCAGAAACAAAGAACATTTTTTTTTCTTTTCCTAAAAAAAGAAAAAATGTCCTTCCCATATTATATTTTATAGACATATTGCTTTGTCTTATCTCTATATATATATATTTCTGTAGGAAAACTAAGTCACCACAAAACCTCATATAGTTTACATTGGATTGAAATGAATTTTTATGTTTTATCCATTAGCAGGTAGTAGCTTTATTTAATTGTGATGGCATGATGATGATGGATGGCTGTTTAACATCCAGCAGCAAATTAAATGCATATTCAGGACCAGAACATATTAATGCGATATGAATATAAAATCTACTTTGTACTAGACCGACAAGCTGAGCTTGATTTTAATTTGCTAGTTCACAAGGTAACAAGGAAAACATGTCACCCTACCCATACATATTATTCTGACTCTGAGTTGACCAGTGCTCTAACTTCTTAATGCCACATTCTTAGTGGAGAAGCAGCAAATACCATTTTTAAAGTCTTAGGTTTGACTGGACGGAAATCAAACCCATGGTTGAATATTGATAAATGATATAATATGTTCCTTTGAAGAGCTGTATTACTTATCAGATATGTTTAGATGACACCAAATCTTCATGTGGACAACAACTTTATTCTTGGCACAAGAACTGCTTACCAACATCTTATGTTGGTTAGCGACTTTCAAGCTATTAGTATTATAGTGTGCAATTACCTGAAATTTGATATTTAATGATTTTGAAGAAAATCAGGAAGCTTGATACATAAACTTACCCCTTCCCTTTTTGTCTCACCTTGACGGAGTCAAAAAGCGAGACAGAGGTATGCTGTTTCTGGCGGCTGGGGTGGCGGGCGTCAACAATGTATTAGTTTGTGATTAGGTCTAGTTTATGGTGAACCACTAGTGGTAGGTCAATGATATTTTGTATGCAGTTGTATTAGCATTGGCACATCTCATTTCCATGGAGATTATTTGGCCCTGCCCCCTCAGTCATGGTCTTTTGACTGAAACTTTTGCTTAGTTTACATGTATTAGTTTGTTATTAGGTCAGTTTATGGGGAACCACTAGTGGTAGGTCAATGATATTTGGTATGCAGTTGTATAAACATTGGCATATCTCATTTCCATGGAGATTTTTTGGCTCCACCCCCTTAGTCAGGGTCTATTGACTTTGAACTTTTTGCTTAGTTTACATGTATTAGTTTGTGATTAGATCAGTTTTAGATGAAGTCAGTGATATTTGGTTTGCAAATTTATTGGCATTTGCAAGTCTCGTTTCCATGGAGATTATATAGCCCCACCCCCTCATCATGGTTCATTGACTTTGAAACTTTTACATAGTTTACAAGTTAATGTTTGTGGCTAGATTTGTTTAAAAGGAAGACTTATGATAGGTCAATGGTATTTGGTATGCAGTTATATTAGCATTGGCACATCTCATTTCCAAGGAGATTGTTTAGTCATGTACCTTCAGTCATGCTTCATTGACTTTGAATATTTGCATAACTTACATGTTAAAGTATTGCTATTTTAATTTCAACATTTGCATTATCAAAATTACAAAGAGGCAAGACATATCTCTGTGTTAACAGTTTATTATTCAATATCTTTCTTGTGAGTAAGTCATTATATATTTGTAACTTTTAAGGTAAGAAATGCTATGAATACACAGATGGTTGAACTAGACAAAGAATTAGCAGAAAACAAATCAAAGAGAGAAGAATTACAACTGTACAAGGTAAATAAAATGTAATAAGTTAGATTTCTGCTTTGTAATTTACAGCTTTAGGTCCATTGAACCAGTGTGTGCTCAGTAATTTACAGCTTTAGGTCCATTGAACCAGTGTGTGCTCAGTAATTTACAGCTTTAGGTCCATTAAACCAGTACTTAGGGTCTGTTGTCCTTTACCTCATGTTTAGGATTAATTGACTGCATAACAACTATTGTTTTTTTTATCACATAATTTTTGCAATTATCATAAGAAATTTGACTATTATATGGTCTAAAGATTCATTGCAAGGTAAACATGTCTGTCAGACAGAGTTCACTTGACCTCTGCTTTAGGTGCATTGTTAAATGTTTTGTGATGATGGCAGTTTCCCCAGATACTTTTTAAAAGTTATGGAAAAACTACATTTGGTGTATAGATTGATAGTTATAGGAAAATGTTTGCCTGACTTATTTGACCTTCATTTCATTTTCACGGTTTATTGGTCAAATTAAAAATTTTTGTCTTTAGATCAGTTTTGAAGATAGAATAAGTATGAGGTCATTTATGTTAGTGCAAAGGTGTACATGTCTGCTGACATAATTCATCTGACCTTGACCGTGACTTGATTTTCATGGTTCTTGATCAATGTTAAGTTTTCAAGATTATAGTGTTCCTCAGCAGCAGTTTAAAAAATGAAAATCTTTAATTTAATTGTAGGATACTTTGGATGCCCAATTCCAAGAGTTAGAGAAAAAGTACACTGAAACCAAAGCAGAAAATGACTCCTATGAGAAGGAAATTGGTCAGCTAAAATCAGCACTAGAAACTGAGAAAGAGGAAAGAAAGAAGGTAGAAGTCATTGTTATTTTTCAATACGATTATAGGCAATCATTCTCAAAGTTCTGTAATTGACTATTTGATTTTCAGTTTGATAAAAATAATGACTTGATAAATCATTAATTGCTATTCAAAGAAGTTGATGTGTTTTGAGCATTATATTTATTTCTATCTGAGACATTATTCCTTAATCCTTGAAGTAAACAAAAATATTTAGAAATTTTTCCCTTCTTGGATTGGGAATCATGCTCTACAATTCTATAAGTATATAATTAGTATAATTAAACAAAAGAGTTATTGATAAGAAATGAATTCTTTATTGAATTGATTGATAATTTAAACTGGATATATTTAGTAAGACAGCTTATATAGATGTTTGTTATACATAGACATAAGAAAACTGTCTGTATTATCAGAAGTTGTCAATATGTAACTGTTTATTGATAGTTTGGACATTGCACTTATTTTATTTTGAAGTTTTTCTGTGTTAATTCTTTTAAATATTTTGCTTTTGCAGGAAGTAACAGAACTACTTGAAGCTAAAGAGATACTGATCAGTCAGAAATTGGAGGTTACTAATCAGCTTGAAGGAATGGAAAGCATTATTAATAAAGTTAGTAAAGGGAGATAATTATTTCTGACTCTTAAGTTCCATATACTGGTACATGTATATTGGGGGAAAATAGGACATGGGTTGATGTAACTGAAACAAATTAGTTTTTTAGATGCTGTAAATTTAGTGATTAAAGTGATTGTTTTTTTATGCGAAAAATTATAGGCTGAACATTGCAAAAACTTAAAACTCACATATTCATTTCTGTTACTAATTTCCTACTATAAAAATAAGAAGATGTGGTATAATTGCCAATGAAACAACTCTCCACCAGAGACCAAATGACATAGAAGTTAACAACTATAGGTCACCATACAGCCTTCAACAATGAGCAAAACCCATAACGCATAGTCGGCTATAAAAGGCCCCGAAATAACAAATGTAAAACAATTCAAACGAGTAAACTAACGCCCTGATTTATGTAAAAAAAAAAAACAATGAACGAAATACAAATATGATATACAGCAACCAACGACAACCACTGAATCACAGGCTCCTGACTTGGGACAGGCACATAAAGAATGTGGCGGGGTTAAACATGTTAGAGGGCACCCAACCATCCCCATAACCTGGGACAGCGGTGTAACATTACAACAATATATTTAACAGCAGTTATATCCCCTTATCTGTCATTGTGACAGCCATACCATAATTAAAACGACTGTAAATTATCTATAACTTTTAAAAGAAGAATTCAGTCCATGAGTTTTTAACTGTATTTTAGACCAATGTAAGGTTCCTGAGAAGTAGAAACCGTAATAACATGTATAATCCTCAAAAGAAATTTACTAGTTGTAAATACATTGTTTTTTGTTTAAATATGTCTGTATTTTATGTTAATGGAAGGAAGTAATTTCAATTATGTAGTGAATTTATATCGAAGAAATTGTACTAATAATAGGGTTATGGAACTAATTTAGAACTACTTAAAACAGTTTAAGGGTGTTGATGAGTGAGTTGTGTAGTTAGCATCTACATGGTATTTTTGACTCATTTTCACAACTCAAATTTGAACCTTTTTTTTTGCTCTTACAGTACTTTTAATGATAGGCACTTGACAAAGTTTGTTGGTTTCTTAGGGAAATGTAGTTACACAGTACAATAAAACTTACCGCTCTTAAATATTCCTCTCATAACCTCAGCAGGAAACAAAATATTTGAATTAAGTCATTTGATAATAAATGATTAAAACATTTCATCTTTATGAATCTGCATCCAAATATATGTTTGATATCACATACAGGTACTATTGTGTTAAAATATTTGCAAGCTTAAATACTGTTTCATCCTACAATCTGAGTTTATTCCCATACTTTCAGCTATTAAGCAGACCTTCACTTCTTTATACATCCAAAGCTTTAATTTTATACACATAAAATCACTTATGAGTCAGGTAAAAGTTAATGTTTTTACAACATATTTGGCATTTTTATTTCATGTGTTTTTGTGCTGGAAGGCCATGTATATGCCATGTTTTTTGCAAAATTGGTATGAATGAACCTTTTCAGCTAAAAATATTTTCTATGCTCATCATGATATCACTGCAAATACCTCTTTAAGGCCATAACTCTCTTGGTTCACTAGTAATGAGAAAAAAAGATGATTAAAAAGTATGTCTGCCGCATAAAGCTAAATTCATAGGTTGTACATAAAAGTACCTATTTACTTAACAGACAAAAGATGAAAAAGAGGAGGCAGAGGTAAAATTTACAGATCTCCAGAAGAGTTTACGAGAGGAAAATTCTTTGCTTCAGACTAAGTTGGTAAGTTTTTTAAGTGAATTTGTTTATTAGAAGAAGTTGTTTATGTAGTGTTCAATAACAGGATTTTTAAAAATTAATTGAAATGCTCAGTTCAGACAAAAAACAAACAGTAGCAAACAAGACATTTCTAATTTTCTAAATAGCAGTTATTCTGTTTTTAGTCAGATCTAGAAAAGTCCAAAGCTGAAATACAAAGAAATTTAGATGAAGAACAAGCTAAATTTGAACTACAAACAACTGTCCTGAATGAAAACTTGACCACTATCAGAGGTGACATGGTCACTGCTCAACAGCAAGTAGAGGAACTCAGTAAATCCAATGATGAACTCAGGGGTGAAAAACTAGGTAATGTTTTATCCAAAAACATACAATTCATATCAATGCACAATATTTTAACATGATTATTCAAAAATCCTATTGAAAAAATATGAGCTTGATACATTGTATAAACATCTGTCTATTATTGAAGACTATATGTCGCCTTATAAATTCAATAAAATAAACTGTATGTATATGGTAGTCCTTAGTAAGGGTGCTCCCTTTATGGGATATGCTTTTTGTCGAGACTGTGACATTTATGTGGCAGAAGTTTTTTTTTAGACAAAAATAACTTTGTCAAACTTTCATTGAATTTTATGAAATTTGGACAGAAGCTTTTTTTATGACCCAAAGACAATATGCAGTACAAATTTTTATTTTTTTTTATTTTTTCAAACTAAACTGATGAAAGGACTTAGTTTTTTTTCAGTATTTGTCTGATATTTAGAATTATTTTTTTACAGTTAATATTTACAGACAGTATGGGATTAAATTTTTTTGACACGATAAATTTGTAAACCTTCATGGATTGTTATGAAACTTGGACAGAATAGCATCTGAAGAAAAAGTTTGATTTTAAATTCTGTATTTTACGAATAAATAGACTTACTTTTAAGTCAGCACTACACTTTCACATTGACAGCAGCAATCACAGGCTAGACACAGGGTTCCTCCAAACCCTTTACATTTTTTTGTAGTATACAGTCTTTTTCATATTGAGGTATAATGTTTTATGAATGGACCAATTCAGAAATTAACTCCCCTCCTCACAATATTAGTATTCTCATAAATAATGTGTACAATAATCAAATATCAAAACAATAACCTCCCTATAATGCAGATCTATTTTTTAATTGGTCCATTGTTTAAAAGATTATTTTCTATAAAAAAAACAATCATTTGTATTTCTGCATTTACCTACTTAAATTGTTTTTATGTTACAGCTTTAGAAGCCAAGCTTGAAAATAACAATGATGAAAGACGATTGCTATTAGAGAGGTATGTTGAAAAAAAGCAATGGGTTTTGCATACTGATTATATTATACATTAAAAGCAGATAATTTTATTGTCAGATTTGATTTTTGGTTGATTCTCTCTACTTGAGAAGAGGCCTCGGTGGCCGAGTGGTCTAAGTAGTTACTACTGTAATCACTAGCAAGTCAACACTGAGGTTGTGAGTTCGAACCCCGCTCATGCGGGTGCACTCGACTCCAATCTTAATTGACTAGGATTGTCAGTTTTCCTATCGAAGGTTGGTGGTTTTCTCCGGGCACTCCAGGTTCCTCCACCAATAAAAACTGGCCGCCACGAAATAGCCCAAAAGCGGTGCTTAAAAGTGGCGTTAAAACACCAAAAAATCAAATCAAATCAAATCTACTTGAGAGATTTGTATGAATAGAGAGGTAGATATTGACAGAAGCTATTATAGACAAATCTACCACCAATTAACTATGACAAGTAGAATATGATGCCTCCTTCTTTGAATCATGCTCCATTCTACTGGGAAGTTTTATAAAGTTCCCAGTTTTATGTTCTGATTTGATGTGTTTATAAAAAGTATTTTTGATAGACCATTGATGAGTGGAAAGCTCTCACATTTGATTATCAGGCAGAAAAGAAGCCTCATGTCCCTGGTCATGTCTTAAGGTTTACATCGTTCAAATATTTTTATTGATACGAATAATGCGACTGCTTAAGTGTTGCAAATAATAAGAACTATCATTCTACATATATCTGTATATTGCTTTTCCTAAAATCGCAATAAATAAACTTGCATTTTTGTTCACTTTTCAAAAATCGCAATAATAAATGCATGCAATAATTTCTCAATTTACAGTATATCTTGAAACTGTTGCATTTGCTGAATGTCTCATTTAGTAAAATATTGAGAGTTCTTACATGTTAGTTATGCTTCACTGAATGTTAAGTTGTTTAAATATAGAAATAGTAAACTTTTGATCATGTGAGTTTCATGAGTATGTGGTTTTCTTTGAACTATACCTTCATAGTCTAACTAGTTGCAAATAAAGATTTTTGTGCAAAGCAGGATAGATTCTAGGTAAACAGTTTATCATGGCCAGAAATATTTTTTAGAATGACTAAAGTTTCTAAACATATTTTCTTTCAAAGGTGCCTTACAAGTGAGGGTGAATGTGAAAATTTACGAGAAAAGTCTGTAGCATTACGGAGAAAATTAGATGATACACAGTCAGCACTTCAAGAACTTGGAAGAGAAAATCAGTCTTTGCAGGTTTGCTACCAAAATTTTGTATTCATAACTTATTTTTTTTGTAGTTTTTTTTATCAATTCCTAAACTTTATGTAATCACAATATAACTGTTTCAAAATATTAATTATATACTCTCTTAACTGTACTTTCATTGTTTGTGAACCCTAACAATGTGTGATGTTTTTGTAAATTTGTTCAGAAATTTTATTTTGTTTACTTTCCATTCTAAATCATGTAGTGTGCTTTCATTCATAATTCTTGACCCTAGATTAATTGTCTGTCATGTACAGTTAGTTGTCTGTTTTGTATAGTCAGTTGTCTGTTTTAAATAGTCAGATGATGAAGAGGTAAGATAAAAATTTAGAAAGTCTTTATTATAACCCCTTCATTGGAAGTGGATATGTGGGAATATGTAGAAGTTAAGATGACTTTAAATTTACACCTAGGAATTTGCATGAAAATCAAATTTTTATCACCCATATAAGGTTATTTAGTTCAATTTATAATTTCATCAACTATTGTATAGATGTTGGTTTTTTTATGCCCCACCTACGATATAAGAGGGGCATTATGTTTTTTGGTCTGTGCGTCTGTTCGTTCGTCCGTCCGTCTGTCCGTTGTCTGTCCCTCTTCAGATTAAAGTTTTTGGTCAAGGTAGTTTTTGATCAAGTTGAAGTCCAATCAACTTGAAACTTAGTACACATGTTCCCTATGATATGATCTTTCTAATCTTAATGCCAAATTAGAGTTTTGACCCCAATTTCAAGGTCAACTGATCATAAAAAATGATAGTGCGAGTGAGGAATCCGTGTACTATGGATACATTCTTGTTAATTCCTAATGCAGTTCAATCATTATTCAAACTGTTGATTATCAAAATAGAGATTTACTGTTAATCAATATGTTCTCAGTCTTTAGCAACAGTGAAAGTAGTTTGATAATCTTGAAAACAACAATATCAATAATTTGTTGTAAAATAGGCATTCGAGGGGCCTTGGTGGCCGAGTGGTCTAAGTAGTTCATCTACTTAGTGTATCACTAGCATGTCAATACGTGTACTGGGATTGTGAGTTTGAACTCTCCACGTTGGAAGTGTGTTCTCTGATCCATATTGACTAGGATTGCCAGTTTTCCTGAAGAAGGTTGTGGTTTTCTCCAGACTATCTGGCTTCCCCCACCAATAAAATCTGATTGCCACAATGTTGCCAAGAGTGCTGATAGTGGCGTTAAACACCAATAATAAAAAATCAATCAATGGCATTCAAACTGTCGCAAAAACTGTTTGAAAAATTGAACAAAGATGACAAACAATAGTACAATGAATATCATGAGTTTCACTCAAGCCATTTTCATTATAACAGCTTTGAGTTTTTAGAATCTGCCTTGAAGTTTGCAAAGGCATGTAGATTACCCATACTAGCCAGTATTTACAAATTCATCTAAGTTTTATTTGTATTTCCTTTTTTAGGAAACTTATGTTCTATTGACAAAGATTAAGTCCCAAGTACAGTTCTTAGATACACTGATTCAAAACAACTGTGTATCTTGGTGTGTATTTCATGCCCTATTGACTTGATAAAGATTAACATCCTTGTTATAATATCATATCTCTTTGTGACATTTTCTTTAGGCTTTACATGTACAAGGTCATGGTTTTCTCTGACTGCTAATGACGTCTTTACACTAAATTCATTGGATGTTGGATGTGTAATGATTGATATTTTAGTCTTAGATACATGATTTTTTTATACCTCCGCCGTAGCAAAGGGGGCATTAAGTTTTACCCTTGTCAGTCTGTACCTACGAACGTACTAACGTACGTCCGTACGTCACAAAATTGGTTTCCGTTCTCTAACTTAAGTTTGCCTCAACCAAATGTTATGAAACTTATACACAATGCTAATTACCACCAAATACAGATCAAGTTTGAATTTTGGTAGGGTCACTCTAACTGTTCTAGAGTTATGCCCCTTTATAAATGGAAAAATTACAAAATTTTTAGTTTCCGTTCTCTAACTTAAGTTTGCCTCAACCAAATGTTATCAAACTTATACACAATGCTTATTACCACAAAGCACAGATCAAGATTGAATATTGGTGGCGTCACTTTAGCCGTTCTAGAGTTATGCCCCTTTATAAATGGAAAAATTGCAAAATTTTTTGTTTCCGTTCTCTAACTTAAGTTTGCCTCAACCAAATGTTATGAAACTTTTACACAATGCTTTTGACCACAAAACACAGATCAAGTTTAATTTTGGTAGCGTCACTTTCATCATTATCTAGTTATGCCCCTTTATAAATCGAAAAATTGCAAAATTTTTAGTTTCCATTCTGTATCTTAAGTTTGCCCCAACCAAACATTATGAAACCTATACACAATACTTATTACCTTAAAACTCAGATCAAGTACAAATTTGGGTAGCATCATGTTTATCGTTCTTGAGTTATGTCCCTTTATAATGTTGTATGCAAGCGGGGCATCATCTGTGTCCATTGGGACACATTCTCCATTTATTATTAGCTGTTATTGGCCTTGAACTAGCTGTAAGTAACTGCGAATACTCTCAGATCTGTACTTAGTGTCCTTGTTGTTGTTAGGGATGAGGAATGGATAAATACCCTGCCACATCCGGTCTGTGTTTATGTTTGATGTTTTTCCGCTTTGTATCGATCTGATGAGTTAAGCCTTTTTCAACTGATTTTTGTCGAGCCTGCGACTTTTGTCGCAGAAAGCTCGACATAGGGATAGTGATCCGGCGACGGCGTTAGCTAACTTCTTAAAAGCTTTATATTTTAGAAGGTGGAAGACCTGGATGCTTCATACTTTGTATATGGATGCCTCATGTTACGAAGTTTCCGTCAGTCACATGTCCAATGTCCTTGACCTCATTTTCATGGTTCAGTGACTACTTGAAAAAAAAGTTAACATTTTTTGTAATGTTAAATTCTCTCTTATTATAAGTAGTAGGATAACCATATTTGGTATGTGCGTACCTTGCAAGGTCCTCATGCCCGTCAGACAGTTTTCACTTGACCTCGACCTCATTTCATGGATCAGTGAACAAGGTTAAGTTTTGGTAGTCAAGTCCATATCTCAGATAATATAAGCAATAGGTCAAGTATATTCGGTGTATGGAAGGACTGTAAGGTGTACATGTCCAACTGGCAGGTGTCATCTGACCTTGACCTCATATTCATGGTTCAGTGGTTATAGTTAAGTTTTTGTGTTTTGGTCTGTTTTTCTTATACTGTATGCAATAGGTCTACTATATTTGGTGTATGGAATGATTGTAAGGTGTACATGTCTAGCTGGCAGGTGTCATTTGACCTTGACCTCATTTTCATGGTTCAGTGGTCAAAGTTAAGATTTTGAGTTTTGGTCTTTTTTTCTAATACTAGATGCAATAGGTCAACTATATTTGGTGTATGGAAATATTTTATGATCTATATGTCAGTCGCACAGGTTTTATTTGACCTTGACCTCATTTTCACAGTTCATTGCTCAGTGTTAAGTTTTTGTGTTTTGGTCTGTTTTTCTTAAACTATAAGCAATAGGTCAACTATATTTGTTGCATGGAAGAATTGTTAGCTGTACATGCCTGCCTGGCATGGTTCATCTGACCTTGACCTCATTTTCATGGTTCATTGGTCAATGTTTAGTTTACTTGGTTAATGTTAAGTTTATGTGACAGTTGTAATAAAGCTTTATATTAAGGACTATCAACATAATATCAGTGATTAGTAAAGAAGGCGAGACATTTCAGTGTGTGCACTCTTGTTATAGTTTGTTCTTATGTTGTGCTGTTACACTATTGTCCCAGGTTAGGGGGAGGGTTGAGTGCTCACAAACATGTTTAACCCCGCCACATTCTTTATGTGCCTGTCCCAAGTCAGGAGCCTGTAGTTCAGTGGTAGTCATTGGTTCATGTCTGTCATATTTGTTTTTCGTTAATTGTTTTGTTATAAATTAGGCCGTTAGTTTTCTCAATTGAATTGTTTCATATTTTTCATGTCGGGGCCTTTTATAGCCGACTATTTTTTATACGACCGCAAGAATTAAAAATTTTTTGGTCATATATTGGTATCACGTTGTCGTCGTCAGCGTCGTCCGAAGAAAGATGGTTTCCGGATAATAACTTTAGTATAAGTGAATAAAAATCAATAAAATTTTAACACAAGGTTTATAACCACTAAAGAAAGGTTGGGATTGATTTTGTGGGTTATGGTCCCAACTGTTTAGGAAATAGGGCCCAAAAAAGGGGCCCAAATAAGCATTTTTGTAGTTTCCAGACAATAACTTGTGTTAAAAGTGTATGAATCTCTCTGAAATTATACCACAAGTTTCCATACTACAAAGGGATGGTTAGGATTGACTTTGGGGGGTTATGGCTCAAACCAAGTAGGAATTATGGGCAAAAAAAGGGGAAAACAAGGGTTTTTCTGGTTAAAGGACAATTGAGACAATTTAAAAGTAGTGTAAGGGAGGTAATCCAAATCAATTTTAAAGAACAATGTTTGATTACCTCCCTTACACTTCTTGTAAATTATGTATTAAGAAATGATGATTGTCTTGTGATTAGCTGTCAATTTATTTTTAGCAGTTACTATTAATTAATATTAATTTTAGCCCTGACTATGTATGTCATTTTATATTTTAAGACTTTTATGATGTATTTAAATGGGTAATTATGGTTTCAAACTTCATTAGAAATTTGAATTGAGATACTGACCATATCTTGAGGGAAAGATTTTTTTTTGGTTTAAGGGAAAGGGGGAGGTGAAAAAAAATGGAAGGGGGGACAATTTTTCTTGTTTCAGATTTCAGAAATTAATAGAAAATTTCTTCAAATATTTTTTTTTAGGGGTTAATATTCAACAGCATAGTGTATTGCACAAAAGCAAAAAACCGGGGTAAAATTATTTTTTTTGGGGGGGGGGGGGGGGGGGGGTGTCAATTCGCAACAACATAGTGTATTGCTCAAAACCAAAAATTGAATATAAATTCAAATCATATAACCAATTTGAAGTTTTTTGACTACAGTTATTCTGTGTCAGAAACCTATTATGTGTCAAAAATTTAATTACAATCTAAATTCAGACCTGTATCAAGCGTGAATATTGTGTCCATTTTGGCCCCAACTTTTCAGTTGGACATCTGCGGTCGTATCCAGCTGCGCTCAGCGAAGCAATTTATTCTCATTGTTGAAGGCCATATGGTTGCCTATAATTGCTTACATCCACTTTATTTGAACTTTGGTGGATAGTTGTCTCATTGGCAATCATACCTTATCTCCTTATTTTTATATAGGTACTGTAAATGTGAATATTTTCATGATTTAAATGCATT